TTCTGTGATTCTGTGATTCTGTGATTCTGTGATTCTGTGAAGTTGAAGACACCATTAGGTTCCATTAAGGACTCTCTGTCCCACTCCTTGGCTCTCATGAACCACATGCACGCAGCACCATTTGTATCATGGGGGGCATGGAGTGTGCAGGCCAGCTGTGCCTACCTAAATAGTCTTCTGGCTAAAGTGACTGGCCATAAAATGTGTTCTCACCTGCAGGAATATGTCCTTCTCATTTCATATGGATGCATATCAAGCCACCTCAGGTCTGAGAGGGCTTGCTCACAGGACAGCAAAGCAGCAGTTGACTTAATTTTGCCATTTCTTCCTTTCCATCACCTCTCCCATCCTTCTTAGCACAGAATCAGAGAACTGCAGAATCCCACAAGGCTGGAAGGAGTCCCTGTAAGTTGTCTGATCCCATACCTTGCTCAAAGCAGAGCTAACCTAAACCAGGTTGCTCATGGCCTTGTAGACAGAGAATCCACAACATCTCTGGACAACATGCTCTAATGTTTGACCACTCTCACAGTGCAAACTTTTTCATTAGCATCTAGTGAGAATTTTCCTTGTTGCAGCTTTTGTCTATTGCCTCCTCTCCTATTGCTGTGAACCTCAAAGAAAAGCCTGTCTCCATCATCTCTGTACCCTCCCATTTGGTAGTTGAAGACAGCAGTGAGTTCATGTTTTTTCTCATGCCTCTCTCTCCTTGATCCTTATTCAGTTCACATGTATGTCTCAAAAATCTTGCCCTCTTCCACAAGGAGAAAGAAACAATGCAGAAGCTGTGATACTAACATTTATAGATCACGTATACAGTTAGTTTGCTTAACCCAGGTATTCTTGATTTCATAACCTTTGGGCATCTTCAATGTTTTTGCCAAAATTTCCTCAGTTTGTAACTGTCCTTCTTCACAGTTCTGGGCAGGGGAGGGGAAATCCTACGGGTCCTTGCTGTGTATTTATTTTTAACTTGCTATTGTCATAGTAATATTATAAAGGAAAACGGTGGTCTATTTATTAATGGTCATTGTGTAACAAGATTTCAGTGACCTCTGTAGGTGAAATGAGGAATACCTGGCTTGTAGCAATTTATTGTCATTTAAAAACTATTTTCAAAGGAGCTTCAGTTCAGGGTGTAGCTGAATTGAAGTTCAGCTAAGCCAATCAGGTGATCCACTGCCCCACCTTCAATTCCCACACTAGTCTCATGTACCTGCTGTTGATGATTCACTCTCGTGGGTCTAAATTGGCTCAACTTGGCAGAAAAATAACTCAGTAACTAAGACAGTGAGTAGCTGCCAAAGAGAATCAGCTTCCTCTGTTAGCACAAGAGCTTCAGAACCACTAGAAGGAAGTGGTGGAGGTGTGTGGCCAGGAGCAGAGGGGAGGAGCAGAGATGTAACGTGTCTTGTCTAATCGTATCCTTGGCCTCTAAACCTAGTCTGCACACCTATGTTTTGTTTTCAAGACATGCTTTCTGTTGCGTACTGGTTCTAAATGTGACTGTCCAATCCCAGCTCATGCATGTCATTAGTTTTCCATGTGTATTTCCTTTGTTCCCTGGAATCCATCTGGGCTCTTCTAGATCCTGGGGAAACTTGATGGATCTAGCTCAGGTTTGTGACCCTAGTCTTACACCTAAGAATATAAATTGGGAGGTTAAAAGCAGGGTATGAGGTAAATAATCAACACCATTACTTAGGTGTCTGTGCTGGAGGTAGGTGTCTCAGTGAAGATACAGTCAATTTGATGAAATCTAGAGAGCTTCTCAGCTTGCCCTGCAGCAGCACCCTGCAGTGGGACTCTACACTAAACAGCTGAATTTCTTTCTGGTTTCTTTAAATTCTACTAATGTATGATACAACTCAACTGATTGGACTTAGGTGTCTGATGCCTGAGGGTGTACTGCCATTCCAAAAGATTTGAGACTCTGATAGTTCCCATGTAAAATTTGGCAGTCCCATCAACCTTAGGACTTCTTAAATAGCATCGATAAACTACATAAGGGGTACTGCACTGAGTCCACTCTGCATTTTGCTTTCACCAACTATTCTTTTTGTTTTCTTTCCTCTTCCCTCAAGCATAGTTCAAATTTTATCTGGCAAATATATAAGATTTTCTTGCAGTTAAGAATGGGCTTAATTCAGGTCATTGGTACCAGGCTATTTCAAAGCTGAGAAAAGTTATTTAAATATTTTTCATCTGCACCTCACAAACATATTCTTTTAATGAGACTGAAACAAGTTTCAGGAACTGGTTAGAACTCAGCATCTGAGCTGATATTTGGATCAGACTTGAGTTTTTGCTACTTCCAGAAGTCTCTCTGAATACAAACATAACAGTGTATGAAAATAGCATATCTTTTGCAGGCAACTGGTGTCTAAGAGCATTGTTCCTTTAAAATTTACTACATTTTCAAAGTAGGTTGTGCCTTGATGAGTATTTTTGGAATCATCATTGGGGCAAATGAGAGAAAAGTTTGGGAATCATTCCCTACAACATGGATTTTGCCTAGAAGGGGACAGATCTTTCACTAGTGAAAACTGGACCATGTTTGTGAAAATGCAGAAAAACACCTGATTTAAACCTCCTTGCAGTATTGATCTGTAGCTTCCTCATTTGCTTTGGTAGAGTATGTATAGAAAATTTCCAAGACAGTGAGGAGTAAGGGTTGGTTTTGGGTATCTGGATGGCTGTACTTCATGAACAGGTAATAATTTTAGGTTTGTGTTATGCCTACTTAAATAGATATAAATGGAGACTTATCATTAAGAAAGAAGCTGAATGCTTCAGACAGACCTGTTAATGTATACAGTATTAACTTATTTATTTATTTATTCTAGATGGCAAAGAATTTGATGCATTTGTGTCCTATGCAAAACTAGACTCTGCTGAAAGTGACTCCACTTTAATTAGTGAGGAAAAATTTGCCCTGGAGATTCTTCCAGACATGCTGGAAAATAAATACGGATACAAGTTATGCATTCTTGAAAGAGATGTTCTTCCAGGAGGAGGTAAGGTCCCTGTGGTTGGTAGAATATCTCCACTTATTTTTGGGATTTTTTTTCTTTCCAAAAAAACTTATGCACTAGATCAGCAAATGGTATATTCTGGTACTGGAGTTTCTGCTTAAGGCTCATTGGGTTTTGATATTTATATCTGTCCCCTGCCTGAGTGTGGCTGCTGGAGATCTACCGGGCTGAGACAGAGCTTCTTGTCCAAAAATTTCTTTGCAAGCAGACTCCATTCCCTGAAAAGAAGACCCCAAATATTTCAGTACTTACTTTCTGAGCAGCTTCATTCAGTGCTACCTGCAGTAACTTGAAAGCCCTCAGTACCTGTCCCTGGGAGAGACAAAGACAAGACCAAGCGTCCCTTGAGACTCTCTTTGAGTAGCAACAAATTGTGTTGAGGTCTCAGCTGTTCCCTCCACCTGCTGAGCAACAAGTTGTGTTCTACAGGCTGCATAAGAATGGCTGCGGTACCCTCTGACAGCAAACACATTTCTAGGGGTGATGTGATTGCTCAGCATCCATATTTCTGTTTTTCCCTATTTCTGGGTTTTAGCTGTTGATAAAGGAACTGATAAAAAGTCCATTATAGAATTCACTAACAATTGCCCTTTCTTCTCCAGCATACACGGATGAAGTTGTTACAGCTATTAAACAAAGCAGACGAACAATAATTATTTTGAGCCCAGCCTACATCAGTGGACCAAGCATGTTTGAACTACAGGCAGCAGTGAACTGTGCGTTGGAAGACAAAAAGATCAAACTGGTACTAATAAAGTTCCAGGCTTTCCAAGAGCCAGAGACTTTGCCTCCAGTAGTGAAGAAGGCTCTTCGGATTTTACCAGTCATTACCTGGAAGTCTTCCATTTCTGCTGCTCCAAACAAGAAGTTCTGGAAATATATGCATTATCACATGCCAGCGAAAACTACTAAGACACTGGGAAACTGCAGCCTAAAGGACTTTTTCCAAAGGTTATTCAGTCTGGTATATCAACAGCAAAAATTTCACAGAGGGATGGCAGCAGGCTCAGGAATGGTGACATGATTGTAAAAGACCTGTTTTACGTGTACTGTCACTAAAATCAGCAATAGCTCACTCCAAAACGGTGAGAAGGACTGCAGTGTGACAGTGCTGCGGCCCCCAGTAAAACTAAGTGGCACTGCACACAACTGTGTGATCTATCTTTCATAAATTATTACTTTATTATTTTATTATTGTATTTATTATATTCTTTTGCTATGATGTTGAGACACATGTGAATATTTTTGGTTTTTTGCATTGTATTTCTTCTGGAATATTCTTATACTTGTTTTCTAGAGAAAAGATTAAAAAAAAGGAACTTCAAAGGAAGTTTGCAGTTTAATTGCCCTGTGCATTGAGACAAATCCAGACTCACACACACAGAATGACACACACAGAATCGCTCGGTTGGAAAAGACCTCTGAGATCATCATGTCCAACCGCTCCTGTCTACCTCCTAAACCATATCCTTAAGTACCTCGTCTACCCGCTTTTTAAATACATCCAGGGATGGTGACTCCACCACCTCCCTGGGCAGCCTGTTCCAGCTTCTGACGACCCTCTCAGTAAAGAACTTCCTCCTTATCTCTAACCTGAACGTCCCTTGGCACAGCTTGGTGCCATTTCCCCTTGTTCTATCCCCCATCACCTGGGAGAAAAGACCAGCACCCACCTCTCTACAACCTCCCTTTAGGTAGTTGTAGGTGGTGATGAGGTCTCCCCTCAGCCTTCTCTTCTCCAGGCTAAACAACCCTAGTTCCCTTAGCCACTCCTCATAAGGCTTGTTCTCCAGACCCCTCACCATCCTTGTGGCTCTTCTCTGAACACGCTCCAGAATCTCAACATCCTTCTTATAGTGAGGGTCCCAGAACTGAACACAGTACTCGAGGTGCGGCCTCACTCTTTAAACAGGTTACCTCCTCTTGTGGGAATATCAAGGAAAAAAAGCTCTGAGTGGCTGTCACAACTGGGTATGCCAAAGGGGTTAAGAAAACAAGGAGAACTGTGTCAGGGCTGATCCCAGGCATCTCCATCCTTCCTGCAATGGGACAAAGAATTCCTACCAGTTGTGAAACATTTCACACTTGGAGACATCTGCACACTGCTGATCCCATCTGGTGCTCCTCACTCATGAGTCCCACCGAACCTGCTGGTATTCTGGGTGTGTTGCAGTTGTAAATCAAAGTCCTAGTAGACTCTGCAGCTAGTAGACTTTCAGGGACTCCGAAGTCCTTCCCTTGCAGCCCTCTGATTGCTAAGTCTCCAGGGTTTGTATCGCTTACCCTCAAGGCACCTTCAGTTTGTGTGTGTATGGCTGTAGCTAAAACAACTGCAATGATGAGTGTTAAGAAAAACTGAGTAGGAGAACCACTGATCTGGTGTTCTGCTGACTTCATTTGGCCTTCAATTTAACAAATCCTTGTTTTATAATGCTAATTGAATATCTCATCTGCCAGATTCCTTGTTGGAAAAGGACTTCAAGAAATACTGCTGTTAACAGGACCAGTATACTGAAAAAAGCTGGCTAAGAGTTATCTACCTGATTTTGTATTGGGATCAAAGCCTTCAGTGGGACAACTGGTGGTGGTGCTGTGTGGCAGAAGATAGTGCCTTGTGTAGAAACAAAACATCAAATGGCATCACTAGCTCCACCAGAGAAAATTCTGACACTGCAATTGCACCTGCATTGAAGTTTTAGTACAGACTTTGATAAACTTTTGAAGCAAATTTCCCGATTGTTGGGAAAAATTGCCTTTTGCTTTGCAATACAGAGCATCACAGGTGCACACACTTGATCCCTTTCCACAGAAAGTCAAGTGGAAGATACTCTCCACTCACGAAGGGACATTCAGACTGTAGAACCAGCTGGCCTGAAGGAATCCCCTCCCAAACACATGCAGTGTGGATATGTGGACCTCAGCACTAGTTGCTTTGGGGTACACCTCTGTTCTCACTAGTCTGCAGTACTTCTTAACGTAGAGGTAATATGACAGTCTGTGAGATCCAGCATAGTTTTCCAACACAATCAAATCAGTGGGCAATTTGAGCAATTTGTCAGTAAATTAAATTTACTCACTTCTAATGTATGTAATACAGGCCGTAGCAGTTTCTAATCAATACCAGTATGTTTGCACACTTTGTTATCCTAACATTAAACATGGCAGTTTTTGTGGAGGAGAAAAGAGGATGACCTTTAAAGAAAATGTTCCGTAAGGGCGAATATTGTATTGGGGGAGGATAATGTGGTTGTCCAGTAAGTGCATTTCTGGCATATGTAAAACAAATGTCAAATAAAAGACAACTCAAGATCCAGTTTTAGCACTCAGAGCTTCCTCTTTCTATTGTTATAGTGTGCTAAGTTACATACATGCGTTTGAGAGAGAGAACGCATTTCTAAATGCGAACGTAATTTGCGTGGTCCCTCCACCAGATGTCCCTACTGTAAGCCCTGCAGAGTACGTTTATTTACACACCAACTAGTTTTGTCAGGGTCAGTAAGCAGTGCCAAGTCTGATATCTGAGGTGCCAGTTGTGCCGGGGAGGCAGACGGGGAGGGAGGGCAGGAGAGTAAGGTATGAAGCAGGCTCTCCTGCCTGCTCAGGGTGCCACCATCTCCCATATGATGCTATTTACTTCTGCTGTGCTTGCTGCTTGAATGGTGCACATTGTGGCTTACTTTTTTTTGACAGTGGGGAAAAAAAGTCAGAGTGGCTGGATAAATAATGTAGCTGGAAAAGGCTTTTTATTCCTTGACAGGGTGATGCTGTGGCCAGGGTTTATCTGGGCTGAAGGAACCTGCAGAACTGGTATCTTCATACAAACTCCAGGTCCATCTGTAACACAAAGAAGAGGACAGACACATTAAGGCTTTTAAAATGACCTCGAATAGGCAAATGAAGCAGCCCTGAGGAAGAAGCAGCCGTGGCTATGAGCAGCACGAATCACCAGGAGTGAGTGTTGCATACCTTCATGCACCCACCCTACACTATAGCTGTAATAAAAGAGCAACAGCCTGAAAATGGGTTCTCCCACACTTGTACATGCAAAGCTTTTGAACTGGTTGCTGTCGCTGTGGAGTCTGGTGTGCTGTTCTGCTGCTGCTAATGTGGATGAGCCCAACCTGAGCAAGAGTTTCTTGCCCAACTATGAACCTGATGAGGGGGATGCTGTTGGCTCTTTGCAAGATACGAGGATACATGTTTTCACAGTGGACTATGACTACGTGCAAATTCCCTACGAAGTTACTCTTTGGATCCTCCTTGCCTCTATTGCAAAAATAGGTAAGTAGAAAATGGGATCTTGGGTCTTCCTACCTCGGCAAGAAGTTTAAAACGTACCACATATGAAGTAACTTCCATGTATTTTTGTAGCTCGGATTGTTTTTACAGGTCCTGTCCTCAAAAGAACAGGTGTGTTCATTACCATGGCAATGACGGAATTTCAACTCTGAATGCTTCCAGCTTAGTTAATTAAATATATGATCTCTAACCCTCCTGTCTCTTGAGTTGTCTATGCTAGTGAGCAGCAACAGACTTCCCCTACACAGTGCTGTCCATTCCTTTTTCTGGTCTTTAAACATCACAAGGTATCAGAATTCACAGCCTGCCGCAGCTGTAGAAATCAGTAACATCAGACTGAGACTCCAGGCATATTGAATTTGAGGGAGCAAAGTGGGAAGAATTATTCCATTGTGTGAACAATAGGAAACATTTCCCTATGAGTTTTTGTTTCATGTTTGCAGTTTAAAGTTGCTCAGAAAGTAATACCAGAGGAAAGGGACTGAGCATCTAAAAGGGTGTGGGTCATCAGAGACATAGGGTAAGTGTCTTTTGAGCACATACTGACATTTCTACCATCTATTAAAGCTCAATGCAGGTATCTGAATGAAGACAGAAAACTCACGGAGAATTAGGGACTGCAATTAACATAACAAAAATAGCTCACCATGTGTCTTACATGTTTGTATGGCTTGGTTCAAATTACTTTGACTGTTCAGAATTAATGCAGCAATATCAAATCAATGAAGAAGATGGTAATAAAGTGAAGAGCTGCACACATGTGATCTCCTTGCCCTTTTGACCTGCCATGGGATTTTCGTTCATATAGAATAGGCTGGTAGGAGGGACTGATGATTTTCTGAAGGTGGCATGAAGATAATTTTTTTTGTTGTTGTAGTCACACAATTGTCCAAGATTTTTACCCCTGACCACGATTTGCCAGTTTCATAATAGATGATGGTCTCAATCTAACTATTATAAACAAGTGTCTTCACTGCTAAAATAATAATAAAAAATTTCACAAATCAAATTTGTTATCACATCAGCAGGGTGTGTTAGCAGTGAGCATATTGACTAATTTCTTTATTCAACATCCATAACAGCACAGGACTCGCCATATGGCACTTTTACTCAATATTCTTGTTTTGAGTAAGAAAGAGATAATTTAGAAGAATGGTGTGGTGCCTCCCAAGCAGACCTGTTCCTTAGCTGGGAGTATTCCAATATTACTATTATTGATGAAGAGTGTGGAGCTGCTGCCTTCAAATCTACCTGGTAGAGAATTAGTGTGAATAATCTGGTTACTCGGGGAATAAGATTTTCAAACTGTGACATTTTTTCAGTGTTTTATTGAAGCATTATCTTCTTTTTGGATTTTAACATTTCAGGATGGGAAGCATTTCTGAGATCTTGAAAGGAAAAACAATCCCTTTATTCTGCAAAACTGATAAAAGACTTGAACATGATTTTATTAATTATAAAAGGAGATGAGTTATAATCATAGCATGGTTTTTGGTAAAAACAGCGTGCTAAATAAATTATTTAAAATTTCATAAAAATATTTTTCTTTTCCTTTGATATATTGCTAATTCAAGTTATCAGTGTTAATTGATAATTCAAGTGTCACAGAAGTGCAGTGATGTCATTAGCTTCTAGAGTTATGGGATGAAGGTTGACCTAGTTTCAAGTGTGGAGACACAGCCATTGGATTTATAGGTTTCATAGTCTGCCTTATTCTCATTCTTG